TGGCCTAGATGTTTATGCAGTTTTAAAGCACCTTGGCTTTGTTCTGAATGCACTTTGTTGTAGTTATCCTACAGAGAAAAGAAAATGCACTTGACTTGGAATTAATGTACAGTATGCATTCAAAAGTGCTGAATAAATGTTTTATGGACCCATAATAGTGATTATTATTTAAGTTAAGTTTTGCCATAATCATTTATTTTTCCATAATCAGGTAGCTGAACAACATTGGTAAAAAATGTATACATATATATATATATATATATATATATTTCTATTAATCATTTTCGGCCTTTCGGCATCCGGTTTTCGGCCAACTGTTTCCTATTTTCGGTATCGGTTTCGGCCAAGAATTTCCTATTCGGTGCACCCCTAGCACTGAATATTACATTTATTAGAATTCAAATTTGTAACAGTGTTATAGTCTAGTTTGTTGATGTACTATATTATAACTTTTAAGTATTTTTAAAAAACTTTGCTTAAAGAGGACATATTATTCTCATTTTCAGATTCAATTTAGTATTTAATGTCTACTGGGACATGTCTCCATGTTTTAAAGTTCAGAAAGGTATTCATGCTTCTCTCATACTGCCTGTGGAGGTGTTTCAGGCTGGGGGAAGACTTCCTCTGGAGGGAACACCGAGCCTTTGCAGACCATTTACGTGCACACAAACCTATCGAACACACTACAGGATACGGAAAAGGGCCTCTTTCAAAAACGTGTTCTTGAAATTGCAGATACCCTGCAGCATTTCTATGATGTGTGCTTATATGTCCTTCTTGGCATGTTGCTGTTACTAATACTTAGTTCCAACTTTAGAGTTTGGAGGACCATGACTTGAAGTTGGCAGTTAAATAAGCAGCAGCGGAGTGACAAAGGAGCAGGGGAAGTGAAGCAGAGCAACATGGCCGTCTTCAAGCCTGAAAATGTGGAAGACTTCTATGAGATCGGCGAAGTTCTGGGAAGGTACGGATATATCAAGCTGTTTGAAAAGTATTTTACAGATGTGTAAATGTACTCCAACATATTGGATTTAAAATGCCACAATTTTCCTTCACATCCCGAACAAACAATGCTGACCTCTTTGCATGGTTATACATTTCAAAAAACTGAATTCATCCTTTTAGCAGCGACTTTCCATATAAACCATTTTGACCTTCTCTTTGATTATTATCAAAAACATCAAATAATAATAACGTAGTTATTTGACTAGGTTGCACATTATTTTGTATCATCTTGTTCAAATGAAGTGTTTACATAATATACAATGCATATTTGTGGATATGTTAAATATATACATATCCATTTTGAAGTGCAAGTCCAAAGGTACTTTAGGGAGAGGAGTTTTATACGTCTTTATGAGGGGGCCAAGCCTTTATTGTGCCGCCTCATGGCTGAAGGAACAAGGAGTGTTGGAGGTGCTTGGTGCTGTGCCGAGGAGGGATGAGTCTCTGGCTGAACGTACTCCTCGTCTTCACCAGCTCTGCATGGTGGGAGGGGTTGTCCAGGATAGAGCTGTATGTCCAGCCTCAAAGATAGTGCTGGGTCTGTCAGAGCTTGTGCAGAGGTTCATCTTCTGAAGCTTGGTGTTTACCCTGCGCTGCTTCTTTACCCCTTCCAGTGGGCATTTTGCTCAGGTTCGAAAGGTCCGTGAGCGGGCCACCGGGACTTACTGGGCAGGAAAATTCTTGAAGATCCGCAAGAACACGTGCAGCCGCCTGGGCCTGGACCGGAGCCGGCTGGAGGAGGAGGTGGACATCCTGCACGCTATCCAACACCCCAACATCATCACGCTCAAAGATGTGTTCGAGAGCCGAGCTGAGGTGGTGCTCGTTCTGGAGCTGTGAGTACACGTGTGTGTGTTTCTGTTTGACGCCAACCTTATGTTATGTTTGGCACATGCTTTTGGTAGGTCAGGCCTAAGGAACAGAACTTAGTTACAGCGGCACGGAGACACAAAACAGAATATCTCCCACTCTGTCAAGATCCATCGGGTATTGCCACGGCAAATTCCAAAATCCACATGGATTTGACCTGGTCACTTCAGGTAAAGTCCTGACTTTCAGCTAATGAACGTCTTCTCGCTATATTCAGACGATACTAAAACGTGTAAAGCAGGAGGAAGACTTCAGCGATCACCGTCTCCTCTCCCTCTGCTCCTCCTCCTCATCTCCCCCCCCCCTGAAATCATGAGTGGCAGGCTGATAGGAACATATCAGGGTCTGGGACAAGGTGTTTCCTAAGTCTTGGCTCATAACATTCAAATATTACAGCTGAATTCAGATAATAATAAATAGTATTTGTAAAGCACCTTTCATTGCCCGATCCCCCATTGTGCGGAGTTTGGCCCTGGGGGGACGAAGCAGATGGTTGGTTATGGAACGGAGGTTGCGTGTGGAGGTTTGAGATGTGAGAAGTTCCTTCAGGTATGGAGGAGCGTTCCCGTGGATGCACTGATGGGTGAGTAGTGAGATCTTGTATTCGACCCTGAATGAGACAGGAAGCCAGTGAATGAAGGACGGGTGTGATGTGGTTGTACTTTCTCACCCTCAACAGGATCCTAGCGGCACTGTTCTGTACGTATTGGAGCTTGTTTTGCCGCGCACAGAGGAAAGTGTCATGTATTTTACGCCATGTGATCGGCCTTTATACACCGATCGATCGGCCGAGAGTGAATATCAGCCGATCACGATCGGAGCATCCCTAATAATTGATGTGGAGAGGGGTATGTTTTGGAAAAGGTGATATGGGTTATGGGGGAGGACTGGACCTGGTTTGGTGTGCCAACTAAAATAGCCTCTGTTTTGGAGCTATTTAGCTACAGGAGGTTTATCTACTCAGAGAGCAGATGGAACATGACCAGCCTTGAGGGAGCTGTTGATGACGTCGGTGATCATGGGACTTACACCAGAGATGTTGGATTTGACAAGGGCTGTGGGTAGAAGGTCTAGTGTGCAGCTGGAGATGAAGTATGATAAATACTTACATAGTGC